CACACAACGCTTCCAGCATGCCTGGTACCAAATAAATCGCCAATGAAAGAAAGAATGACTGGAGCTGCATGAATCTCCCTTAGACAATCAGTCAGGGCATGACCTGGCCCTTCCCCTTTCACCCTCCCCCAGTTCCCCTGGGATCCCCACTCTCTGTTCCAACCATAGTGACCCCAGGACCTTGGACAACACTAGGTGTGCTTTTGCACAGGCTGTGTCTCTTACATGGAAAACCTTTCCCTTTGTCCAACTCCAACTCATCCTGCAGCTCTTGGCTTAAGCATCACTTCTTCCAGAATTCCTTCCATGTCCTGACCGTCACCACCTACCTTCACCCTCACCAGTCATCAAGCCCAGACTAGGCAGGAATTCCCACCATGGCTTCCCAGGGCTCACAGGACTTCCCGATCAACCGTCTATCTTCCCCACCAGACAGCAGCTTCATGCAGACAGCAGCCACGTCTATCTGTCTTGTACACCAGCCTCTTGTCTGGCACATAGTAGGCTCTGAATGGATTTTTTTTGAATGACTGATTGTACAAATACTTGAGTGGCAATTGCACATAAAGGCAGGATGTGTCTAATATTGTGCCTTCAATTGCATAACTTCAAACACATAGGCATTTTGCTTAAGGTCTGAGCAAAAAGGTAAATTACTTCTTTAAAAAGTTCTCATTTGGAATTAATTTTTGTAACCAATTTCCATATTATTCTCAATATCCTACATCATTCTTAGCTATACCTGCAGGCCTGGGTAATGGGGACTGATGTTCAGAATGAATCAAATCTTAAATCACGCTCACCGCGTGTAAGAAAATGGATTCTGACATTTTATAAAGATTTTTAACAAGGGTTGGAGCAAAAGAGGATTTCTAATTAACCCTCAGTTACCTAGGAAATTACATCCATCACAGTGTTCATTCATAAGAATATATTTCTTGATCATGTATTGTGTGAATGATTAAGGGTCAAAGACGTGAATGAGCACATGTGCGGGGCAGGAGGTAAACACAGCACCATGTTGGGCCCGTTACACAGATTACCCCATCCTAACCTCACAACCTCTCTGGGAGGTCAGTATCATCACTAGCACTTTTATAGTCGGGAAAACAGACTCAGAAAAATGGAATAATTTCCCCAGGATCACATCGCTGGTAAGGGCTGGAGACAGGATTTGAGTTCAGGTCTGTACGAATCGAGACGTAACCCCTGGCTTCCTCCACATCATGGCTGGGATGACCATGGGGAGAGTGGGCAATAATGTCAACAATACCAACACAGCGTGGAGCATACAATCAGGCCGGCAAACAAGGCTCAAACCTGACCCACCACTTACGTGTCCCAGATGCTTTACTTAACCTTTGGAAGCCTCAGGTTCCTCATCTGTAAAATGGGGTAACGATAGTACCCAGCTCCTAGGGGTCCACGAGATAACCCATGAAGGGCACGTGGTGCATATTAGGGCACAATGCTGCAGCAAAGTACTCTTTTAACCCCAAGAATCAAATGGTTACAGGACAACAGATGGGGCGGTGGTGAATCAGAAGCCACGTGAAATAGGAGTCAAAAGTAGGCTCACTCTATGTAATGGGCAAGGCTGCTGAAGGGTTGAGCACCAATGGATTTCATTCTCTTAAGAATTCATTTCAGTGGCTGGCTTGGTGGTACAGCGATTAAGTTCACACGTTCAGATCTCTGGTGTGGACCTACTCACTGCCTGTCAAGCCATGCTGTGGTAGGCGTCCCACATATAAAATAGAGGAAGATGGGCACGGATGTTAGCTCAGGGCCAGTCTTCCTCAGCAAAAAAGAGGAGGATTGGCAGTAGATGTTAGCTCAGGGCTAATCTTCCTCAAAAATAAAATAAAATAAAATAGAGGAAGATGGGCACACATGTTAGCTCAGGGTCAGTCTTCCTCAGCAAAAGGAGGAGGATTGGTGGCAGATCTTAGCTCAGGGCTAATCTTCCTCAAAAAAAAAAGAATTCATTTCAGAAACACGAAATCACCACGCTTATGTTGGCATTGACAGGAAGTGATATGTGGGAAAACACATACGGATGACTCGAAAGTGATTCAGAAATCTCAGGCCCTAAGTGGAGACATTTTAGGAATACCTTACTTAATTTACTTTGCCCACGTCTGTTTTACACATGCACAAGAGTGACAGGACAGGAAGCTATGTCTAATTAAGTGTAAGAGAACTCTAAATAGGCAGACAAATTCTCAGTGATGAGAATGCATCATGTCCCAGTTTAATTGGCAGTCACTTTTTTCTCAGTGGTACATAAAATCACAGAGAATTTTACCATCAACGGCATTTGAGATTTGATGAAACACAACAGCTCACAGACATTCGGTGTATGACCCATTTGTGAGATTACCTGCCTTCAGAAGGGATTCACTCCAAAGTATAAAGGACTGTGCTCCTATATGGCCCCACTATTTCCAAGAGTTAATTTGGCTGGAAAATGAGAGTGCAGAGAGAGACGAGAGGAGAGAGGGAAGGGATGGAAAAGAGAGGGGAGAGGCAGAGTGTGGAATGGTCTAACGCCAATTCTGCACGAGCATCGTTTGTGTCCAGGGCCGATCCCGACAGGACACATATTTAGAAGTATAACCCCTGGGCACTGTGAAATCCTCAGTCATCAAGCAAAGATTCTATTGTATTTACCACATGTGTTTGGGGCAAAAAGTAGAGTTTGGGTTATTGACGAGTTTGCAAGAATTGGAAACAAAAGATTTTTCTGGTTAGCCTCAAGTAACCGGAAACTTATAAACCTTGGACGTTCCAGTTCAATGGGAGTTGATGATGGTGGTAGCCTCATCTCATGAGTGGTCGCTGTCTCCTTCAGGGCAGATCACACGACCTAGAACACCCTGCTGCTCCTTCTGTACTCTCACCTACCTCTTCCACCACCGACAGACTGGTGCCATCGAGATTTAGGAGAACTGGCGACCAACGTGACAAGTCGAGACAGATTTGGGGAACATGAAGAACCCTTTTGACTTTTCCGTAAAGAACCCTGGCAAAAATCCCCCAAGCCTTTTGCTTCTTTCCTGTGCTTCTTTTGGCCATAAAGTATGAGATTCAAATGATGATTGATATTTCCATGTATAAGGTCGATGAACATCTTTTTGATATTTGAAGGCTCATTCATAACAAGCCAAGGGATTGGCTCCCACCTTCCAGTCTAGAATAATTTGATTGTACAAGATAGGAAAATACCCCAGGACCTGTTAGAACAGCACTTGCCTTCTAAAGGAGCCACAGAAGAAATATGCTGCAACCATGGGGGCAAACCACAATGGATCCAACCATGTAACTTTGCGTAGAGCCCAGGAAGAGCTGCCCCCTCGGTTCTGGATTCCATGCTCCTGGTGGGAACTCGCTCCTTTCTTCTTCTCAAGGCTGCACTGCAAAACTCCTCACTTCCCTTCGCCCCCTCCAAGTTCCTAATTCTTCTTTTACTCATTATCAACAATAAAGCATTGGCCATTCTGACATATTAATTCTTCTCTGAAAAATGCTTCATTTCTCCATAACCAAATTGCACAGAAATGACCCCCAATGCCACTTCCCCCTTCAGGGACCAAGAAGCCTTACTGTCTTTAACGTCCATATCATCAACAGCTACTGATCACCTACTATGCATAAAATCAGATGCCTGGCTCCAATTTCACCAATAATTTTGTAGTATCCATCTCTTGACACATGTGGAAAGTCATATCTTCTGTTTCTTATGAGACAGACTGCTGTTCACCAATATCCATGCTATCCTATCTTCTTTGGCATATTTATCAGTCCCCTTGCATCCAAGGGAGGCCATGTGATTAGTTGGCACCAATGGAGTGTGGGCAAATTGACCAAAACCTAAACATCCCACATAATATTTTATGCTTTCTTTTCTTTTGCCTATTGGCAAGATGCTAAAGATCTAGTGAATTACTCTGAGGAGAGGGGTCAATGAGGTCAACAGTAGCTACATGCATGGAAGCTTCTAGCAGGCCCTGGGTGATGTACGTGATGGGAGAGCCCTGAGATGGAAGAAGCCTGGGTCCTTGAATGTTCACATGGAGCAGAGCTCCCTGCTGCTCCATTGGAAACCACGGCACGAGTGAGAAACAAACCTTTACTGTGATAAGTCACTGAGATTTTAAGGTTTATCTGTTATAGCAGGTAGCACTACTTACTTTAACCTATTCATATTTTTTGAGAGCTCTTTTCTAATGCAGATTTTATTTGTGCATGTGCTAGCTTAAATATTTCAGCTGGATTGGAGATATTTTGGAAAGCGGTGATCTGCCTTTGAGTCAGGGGGAAATACAATGTGCCAATGGCAGTCACAACCTCAGGGAGTTCATATACAGGCCCCAACTAGATTCAGGGGTCTAATCGGGCCGTCCCTGTGGAGCTAACATCCTTCAACAAACAAGCATATTGCCAGCTCACAGAAGGCTTGGTCCACACCACGGCCTTTCAGTTGAGCAGATGGGAGTTTTGATATAAATTGTGCTGGCATTTGCTGCTCTGAAAATAGATTTGGTTTTGCCTGCTTCCAAATGCAGTTTTTAAAAGCAACAGTCAACAAGTTCCATTCCCTCCCTTTAGGCAGGTCAGCAGGGCCAGACCTCCATTTTCTGTGAAAAAGCACAGGAATAAAGAATCCAGGTAGCTCAGGCTTATGGGGACTCTTGGACTCTGCCTTGTTGTTACCCAATCAAATGCAAAAATTTCCCCTGGAGCATTCCAGATGGAGCATCCAACCTGTGTTTGCTCACCCTTTTCGATGGGGAGCTCACCACTTGATGAAGTAGCACACTCTAGTGTTGAAAGGTGCTGCACTTGGAAAGCTGAGAAAGCCACCACGAAACTTCCATTCTTCAGTCCCATATCTGCCCTCGAGAGTCCCTCCCTCCAGATGCAATCCCATCACCACAGATTGACCCTTCAGGCAGCAGAAGACAGAATCGAAGGCCGAACTCTCATCTTTTTCTATCTCTGTCCCACGTCCTCTCCTCTCCTTACAGCATACTCTCTAGGACCCTTCCTCAGAACATCAGTGGCCTGTGGAAACTGAAGTGCCAGGAGCTGGCCACAAGTGTGAGCAACATGGGGAGGAATGGGGTCAACATCCAGTGTGTTCAGGACGTTACGGTTCCGGGAGAGCTGGGCCCGTCTGATGAAATACAGTCATCTCAGAGGAGAGCAGCGGTTCTCCTCACGGGGAAGGCAAAAACAAAGACAAGGAAGCAGGAACTTGGGCCTCACAGAAACCCTGGGATGGACTACACCCAGAACCTACTGTGAAAACTGTGGGGTCCTCAGGAACGAAGGCAGCTCTCCCTGCAGCGACACCTCGCTGGCTCGCTTGCTGGGTCCTGATTCCGCCCGCCAACTGCCTTGCCGTGCCTTCCACGTCTCTCAGCATCTGCTTACTCCCCGCTAACACCTCTTCAGTCCACGAGGCCTCTTGGCCTCTCCGGCCTGCACCCTCTGTGAGGGCGAAGTTCATGGTCTTTTCCCATAATATTCTCAATGACTTAAATTCAGAACTTCCACAGGGAGAGAACTTGATATTTTCACTTAATCACCATCAACCCAGTCGTGCAAAGATCTAGCAGAAGGTGGCCCTATCAGTGTTGGCCACCTAGAGACTAGCTCAAATACCCTCCTCTGACCCATCGACAAAGATGAGAGGGTGGGCCATGGGGTTCGGGAGTGACGATTTGCACGGAAGGAACTCCGGAAGCGTCTTTAGCAAGATGGCCCATTCTGGCTTGCCCTGTCCTGAACCACATTCACGAATCCAGCTCATCAGCACTTTTGACAGCCACGTTCCACCCTAAGCCTCCAGTTGTGGCAGAATCCCAGAGTTGTGCTTCTCCAGCTGCTGCTAAGCCGCTGCCACTCTCCACCCTGCCCCAGGTGTGTAAATCTTTGCCTCTTACGCTTCCTCTTGGTAGATTCTGCTCAAGGTCCCAGCCCTGGAAGTTCTCTTAATCCGAATTCTGTCTTCTGACGCCGAGCTTTTTGTCTCCGGCCTGTAAGTGCCACAGGTTCCTCAGAGCCCTGTGAGAACCGTGAAGAAAGGAAGCAGAACAAGCAGGTTGGAGTCAGCACCCACCCCCAGCCCCACTTTGGGCAGAAAAATTGTTTAACACAACTGAATTCCAGGTAAGGGTTTATTGGAACAATGGTTCCTGAAACAAAAAATGAAATTTGCAAACCGTGGAGGGCAGACCTCTCTCGGGCTTCCGTGCTCAGTGGTTGGTCTCATTTTTCAGTGCATCAGGATGCAGGGCTCGCACAATCCTCCGAGCCTCCTCCCGGGGCAAATAGAAGCCGGTGGGGATGCTGTTGCTGCTCCAGCAGTCATTAAACTCGGCAAAGCACTGGAAACATGACTGCTGGCCTCCTTGCTCCCGGAAGCAACAGCCCGCTGTGCCATGTCCCTCTTTGGGCTTTAACAGGCCCAGTCCAGCACGCCTTGAAGGGACGAGCTGCTTATCCCTGGCACCATCAGACCACCAGAGCCGAGGGACAGCGGGTGAGACTGGCTGTTGGCAGTTTCCAGGCAGGAGATGAGATGCCCCTCGACCTGCATTTCTATGTTGCCTTCAATAAAGCTAAAATAAGGCAGCCATGCACTGTAAAGATTTAACAGGCTACAGAAGGGGCTTTTCTGTTGTGTCCGACTCTTGGCTAAAGCTTCAAGCTAAAGATAATGGGTGACAAGTGGCCCATGATCTGCCTGACACAGCATCCCAGCAGCATCTACTGAAAGACGGCAAATTTGGTTCTGCAACCCCCTCCCGTTCAGGCTGTGTAAGAGGCCGGAGCTCTCTGAGCAGAGCTCCCTGAGGACACACGTGGAGGAACGGGACGGGGGAGAAGGGCAGTGGTGGTTTCCACCCTCTTCCTCCTTGGCCAACTGAGGGGCCCCAGAAGAACCATGCAGAGACTGGGGATCCATGCAGGAGGGGGGACCAGCTTCTCACCTCCCTAACTGATGTGCGCTGAGTTCCAGAAATTTGTAAAAACAATTCCCTGGCGTTAACGGGGCAGACAGAAGTGAGGAAGTTCTCGGGAACTTGATGGGCCTCCAGGAGTTTGAAAGAGTATGTCAAATGCCCATGGGCTGAAGCTGCCGTGATGGCAGGGCAAGGGGAGAGGGGTCAGCTGGGGGGGGGGGGGGTCACCTGCTGGCACAGTCCAGGATGGGGCAGTGCAGATAGGCTCCGAGGACACACAGGCCACTCTGTGAGAGAGCCCACTTTGAGAACCTGCCCTGACAAAGGTAACCAGATAGGCAGGCCAGAAGTGCCAAGAGCATCGGCTACAGGAAGAGGCCTCTGCCCCATCCCTCCTCCCCTGAAAAACCCTGAGGAGCCAGACTGGAAGAGAGAGGGAGGGAGGCGAGTGAGAGGTGGAGCAAGGACAACGAAAGGACAGAGGGTGCCCCTCCTTCCCCACGGTTGCTTCCTGAGTTCCAGACCAGGTTGGAGCTGATAAAGGAAGGGATGAAGTTTTCAATTGAAAGTCCAATTAAAGTTTTCGAGTTCAATTGGACCAGATGTTCTAATAACTCAAGATGAGGCTTCATCTTTTTAGTGGCTGGAAGGGACTAGAGACTATGAGTGTCACTAAGCGACAGGGAAGTGAGATTGACAGCACTGGCGAGAGAAAGGCAATGTGCCTTTCTGATGGAACCCTCCTGAGGTCAGGCCGCTGGAGAAACGGGTTGCGTAGTCACAGAATTTGATCTTCCTGAGCCTTAGGCTGCTTGTCTGTTAAATGGAGACAACAATACTCACCTCCTAGAGGTATTATGAGAATTAAAATGAAAGCACGTGTGCCAACAATTAGAATGAAAGCACTTTATATGCCAACATATAGTGTCTGGCTCTTGGGGGTGCCAGCCAATGTCTGCATCGCTGAGTAGGGGTCTCTCCCTAGAAACTCGGAACCAGCAGACTTCTAGAACAGCAGAGCTGAAGAGCCTGTGGACAGCCACAGTCCAGCCTACTCACATTACATACGACGAAGTTGAGGTTCAGGGAGGCTGGGGTCCAGCTGCCTGAGGTCACCCAGTGGCTTAATGGCAGAGTTAAAATTGGGACCCAAATCTTCTGACCCCCACCCCAGCCTTTTATCTATAAGCCCTGGGGCACGCCCGTAATCAACAGTGAAGGTCTGGTGACTGCTTGATTGAGAAGTGACCAGAGGCCTGGCCCTCTTGGCAGCGCCAGGAGCCGCCAGATAAATGGATGCATTGGCACAAATTTTCATTCATTCAGCAAACCTTCACCAAGTACCAATCCTGTGCCAGGAACTGTAGATGGAGCTGGATATGGACCTGGAAACCACCGTCTCTGTACTCGTTGAACTCCAACCCCACGAGGGAGGCAGAAGATTCTGAGTGTGCCTGGGGGATTCTAGAAAGGCTTCACAGAGGGGCTCATGGGCTTGTGCAACGGATGGAGAAGGATGGAGATCCACTCAGGATTTTCCCCTGCGCCCATCTCCCAAAAGACCTTTCTCTTTTATGGGCATCCAATTCTGAGTTCCCCAGCTCTGTAAGCAGACTGGCAGAGAGTCCTCTCTCAGCTTACTTTGCCTCCAAGTACCTACTACACTGCACACAAGTCAAGGTTCTCAGGCAAGAGCTTCCTTGATACAGATGAAGAAAGAGTCACATGGAGAAGAGTTTGCCAACAATTAGTTTGCACATCTCTGCTCGTTTCGTAATCTGACAGTCATGCCCATCAGCATTGCTTTTCCACCCTAATCGTCTGCTTATAAATTTTTACAACAGGAAGATGACTGTCAGAGGCAGAGAGGAAAGATGCCTGTAAGACACAGGACTTCCCTGAGCACAGCAAAGCGAATAGAGCTCAAGGCTCAGCTGCCAGCTGGGGTGTGAAACTTCACATGGAGCATCACCCCTCCCCCAGTGACCTCAAAGCACTTAGAGAAGGATGCGAGCTGTGTTTTTTTAAAATCAGGTAATCCAGATGTGAACTCAGTGTCCATGTAGGTAAGATCAGGGACAAGCACTCACCTCTTTGGGTGTAAAACCAATTAAACGTAGCCAAGGCAGTAAGGGGCTTGAACGTGTCAGAGACAATTTCCAGGGATGGCTAATCGGATCAGCCCCTATTTGCAGCTGGAAAAACTTTCAGTATATCTGAGCTCAGCACCGAAGGCCTGGCCACTACACAACCCCTTCTAGGCCAAAGGCACTGGTAGAAAGAGGACAGAGGCTTCAAGACAAACTGGGAAATGCTGGGAAAGAGACTGTGGGAAGGAAGATGCGTTTTACAAATAACACACTTATGGTTGCCCAATTATTTGACATTTCCAAGCAGGACAATGGTCTAGTCTCAAACCAGAGATTGTAAATCAGAGGCCCATGGACCAAATCTAGTCCATGTGTGTGTTTTGTTAGGCCAATAAAATGTGTGTGAATGTTATTTGAATTAGTTGCCAAACTTAAAAATTGGAATATTTAACAAAAAATCTGACCTCTGGGTTTTATTAAAATCTTGGAAGATCTCAAAAATTTAAATATAAAAAAAGGAAACTATTATAATAGAAGAAGAAATCATTGGCGAATTCTTTTATAACCTCTAGATAATAAAAGGCTTTTCTAATTTGGACCTAGGATCCAGAAGTTGTAAAGGAAAGATTGATAAATTTGACTACATAAAAATTAAAAACACCGTAAACAAAGTCAAAAAGACAAACAACAAACAGGGAAAAATTGCAACTCATATTACACAGCTATAACCTCTCTAATATATAAAGACTTTCAGAAATCAATAAGTAAAAGATCAACAACCCAATAAGAAATATGCGAATGATATAAACTGACAGTTCACAGATAACACAATACAAGTGGCTTTTAAATATAGAAAAAATGTTCAGCACCACTCATAGTTTAAAAAAAAAAAAAGCACGTTAAATTAGATTGAGATGCCATTTTTCATGCGTGGGAACAGCAGATATCCGAAACCTTGATCATACACACTGTTGGCAGGGCTGTAGGACATTGCAATCCTCCTCCAGAAAATTCAACAGCAACAACAACCGTTTTGTGCCACAGTCCAGAAACCATCGACTTTTAATCATGCGTCCGAATGACTAGACTCCGTTGGGATTTTCGTACCTGGATTCCAAAGATGGAAACAAGAACTTTGTCTGGATCCCATTTGACATCTAACATGCTGCTCTCCTATAATTAGGCAGAGGCTCTGACTAAAACTAAAAGGGATTCCTCAGTATCCCAGCTGCACGTGCTCTTCTATTTCTTCCTAAAAGAAAGAAGGGCAGGAGCAGCAGAGAGAAGGAGAAAGTCTAGCCCCATCGCAAGCTCCTCGCACACCAGGAGCCACATGCAGCTTCACGCCAGGAGCCCCGTAGAGCTCCAGGAGCATTATGGCATTTCTTCCCCACAGCATTGCCGTCCTCTTTCAGTAGGGGAGGAAACAGACTCAGAGCAGCCGTGTGACTTGACCTTCTTTGACAGTTATGTGCAGGGGCGGAACAAAGGAGCCATGGCTTGTGTCTGGGTGGTGGAGCAGCTTATTTTGCTATGGGTCATTTTGGTTGAACGAGTGAAAGGAAACTGGAAGCTAACGGTGTCCTGGTGAGCTGCTGAGATGTCTCAGTCACACTGTCGCAGCGTGCCATGTGAGGGGTATAATCTGTGCTTTTCTTTAATCCTCTTCTCCAGGGAAGATGTGCCAAGACCAGTCTTAGGTGGCTGCTCTGAGTAAGGGAAATAGCAGTGGTGAGCCCCTCGAATGCCACTGCTTCCTCTGATGAGAAGAGAAAGCATGACAGACTCTGAACTGCATAAACCATCAGGTTCCCGGACAATGTGATGGAGGTGGGGAGTCAGACAGGACCTCGAGAGCAACACGAATTTCCTGCTGATAGAGCAGTTGGGGGAAGAGTCAATCAATTCATTAGAGAATAGAAAACGCTAAGACTTTGTGCTGAGACTGAGAAGAGGTTCTTACTGGTTACGACCTATTTGGTTTCCCCCTCCCCGTTCCCCAAATCAGAGTCCTCTCTTGGCAAGTTCGCCATGAGAGACAGTAGGATTCTTGCTGACCTGTCCCTCCTCGTTAATGGAACCACTTCTGGGTAGACGTTGTTATCCTTGGCAAGAGGATATCTTTGGAAACCAGGGATTAGAGTGAAAGGCCAATATTTTTTCTGTAACCAAGGAGCATCCCTGATTTATTTCTTCATGGGTCCTTCATGGAGTATCGGGTTGTGATGGCAAAAATTCCCAGAGAAGAGTGATGGGGAAGAAAGCCATTCAACGGGCTGGGAAAGCTCAGCTCCTTTGGAGACCGCCAGCCGCACCTCTTCATTCCAGAAAGCTCCCTTGCGACCCATCTGAGTCCTTCTTTGGGGAAGAAACAACTCTATTTCTAGAGCTGTGATGCAAATTGCTTTTGTGGGATGCTCTGAACACTGATTAAAACCACTGAGAAACGGAGAGGGTGGGCAGGAAGCTGTCAGATTTTGCAGAAAACCACATTCCCAGAGTCTCCCCAAACTCATGTTTCCTTTCACCGTTGCTCAGAATCGCTGAGCTGGAGTTGTCAAAATAGCGCATTTCTCTGAAATACAGCAACTTCAGTTTTTCAAACCTTGCCATATCAGAGCCCTCAGTAACTCAAAAGCTATCTCGGTCCCTCTTTCCCTCTGTCATCCAAACAAAAAGACAAAAGATAAGAAAACCGTCTCGCCTTGGGGCTTTGGACAGTAAATTTTAGCAGGTATCTTGGGCTTGACTCAACAATGAAGAGCCATTAGAACTGATATTCAGCATTACAGGCCTGGGGTCCTTTAATATCCTCAATCACCAGGAAAAGGATTTGATATAAGTCTTATACTCTATCTACCAGAATATGAAAAAGAACTCAGAACTAACAAGGGTTGAAACCAAAAGGGTTTTCTGGATGAGCCTCCATTCTCCAGAACCATCCCTGTTCCCAAGTTTAGCAGTTAATGGAAGTGGCACTGAAACTTCCCATTGCTGGAGGCCTGTTTCGTGGCCACTACTCTGTAACATAATGGGTCAGAACCACACAAAATGCACAGAAGACTAAACCACAGGATATCCAGTTCTAGTCAAGACTGTAACCAACTGGCTACAAGTCCTTCCAATCCTTTGGCTCTCCACTTCCTTACTTGTAAGACAAGCCGGTTGAATTAGCACAGGCTGACCTTGGATGGAAGGAAAGAGAGACTAGCTGGGCACAGAGGACCTATCCAGCTGGAAGAAGGAAAAGGCATTCTTGAGGAAGGGAAGAGCATCATTATAGGCACGTCCGTTCTAAGGCATGTTGTTATTTTCCTTGGATCTGGTGATCTAGCCCCAGTCTTCTCGGATATGGATTGGCTGTTCCCTTCTCCAAGAACAGTTTTTTCTTTCTTCTGCATGTGCCTAAATTCTGTGTATCCTTAAAGGTCCAGTTCAAAAGTCATCTCCTTAATCTCTCTTCTATGAATAATCTCTTCACTGAACTATTCTAACATGAATTTGCACCTCTATGATGATGCTTATCATTTTGCGTTATGTCGGAATATTCCATACTGAACTGTAGTCTCCTAGACACAGGCTGAATTCCATATTTGCGTACCTGACAATGCCTAGCAGAATGCCTTGTGCATAGTAGGTGCTCAAATCACTGCAGGATGACTGAAGGACTGAACAGATGGATGAAAGAATGAAATCCCATAATATCTGGACACAGCAAAATTACTCCAGTTTAACCTAAATACTTTAAATATTTTTATTTTGAAATTCTTGCTTAGATCTTCTTATAAAAGCACTGGAATAATCCCATCCCAAATTCTAAGCTTATTTAGTTATGGACCCCCCCCACCTTTGACCACTTCTTAGAGTGCAGAAGAATCTTTAATTTCTGAAGTCAAATCTTTGACGAGTGCCACACACAGTGCTCTTCTCATCACTCTCAAATAAATGTCTGTGGCAACATTTCAGCCCAAGCCTGCTGGGAAAATTTAATTCCTCTCCTACAGCCCCACCTCCCAAGAATCAGAAAATAATACTTAGAGAACCAGTAGTCTTTGTTCAACACAAATAAAGGGGAAAACAATACCCATGGCTCCTTAAAGCTGTGTATTAGCACACTGCAGAAAGTATCTCATTTATATTAATGTGCTTATAGCTTATTACACAAAAATTAATTAAAAATTGAATAAGGCCAGAGCTCAAAATTCTGCATGTCTAATGTCCCTGCCAAAGCAGCTCATACAATGAACAGCTAAAATTCTAAGAGCATTAGTTTGTCACCGTGCAGCATACAACTCCATTTTGGATCACCCCCTTTTCACAGGAAATGGGGGCTCCGTGGCTTTATGGGTCCTCCATTAACATGTCATCTTTGGGGAGGGGAGGTAGATATAAATGGACTTGATGCTATTTTACGATTCTCAGCTCAAGCTTCGGCCCCTAGGGAAGTGCCCAGTTATTTCCGAACCACAAATGGCCCATCTCCAGCAAGACGGAGAAAGCTGTCAGAAGTCTCCCCTGGTCCCAGACAGCTCGGCAGACACAGGAGTAACTCAGAGGAAGGAAACCCATGGCAAGTCAGGTCAAGCTGACACCTACCTCTTGGGTCCCCGTCACTTCTGCCCCCCAACCTCTGCTCCCTGGGGGTAGTCAGGCAAAGTAAAAAGATAATGAACACTGGAGTTAGACAGTCATTAGCAAGCAACGTCCACCTCTGACGTAATCCCCATGTAACACCTACCTTATGGGATTGTGTCAAGAGCCAAATAAGGCAACGTGCACGTTGCACCTGGCACAGAGTAGATGCTGAATAAATGCTCTTCCCTCTTAAGACAAAACCCAAAGATTCAGTCCAGCAATTCAGTAGCTTCATTTATTTCCCCACCACATCAAATATCCACAAGCTTCTTGCCTGTCAAGTCTACTGGACAGTAAATTCGCGAAGGTAAGAGTCACATCTCATTCACCTCTGTGTTCCTGGGACCTCGCACAGAGCGCGGCACACAGTCGTTAGCCGAGAAATGGCTGTAGAACAAATGAACGGAAGGATGGAAAAGAATAGGCCCCAGTGGTTGGGTGCTGACCACCAGGACTTTACACACATCAGACCATCTACTCTAAACGACCTGACCCTCTGAGGCAGACACCGTCTCTGTTTTACAGTGAAGGATACAAAAGCTCAGAGAGATTTGGGGTGGCGACTTCGCTGAGGCTGCACAAATAATAAACCATATGAAATTGCCTACGTTCCCCCCTTAAAAACATACAAAAGAGGATTCACTCTGTGTCAGGCACTGAGCCAAATACCCTGCGTAAATTATAATGTAAACATTACAACCTTTGGAAATAATGGAAATTACAGATGGGGAAACTGAGGCTCGGAAGGGTCAAGTAACTTGCCCTGGTTCCAACCATTTTCCACTTACAACAATAGCCCTTTCAAACGGGTCAACCTGATATTAAAAGGGGAGACCAGGATTCAAACACAGGTCCCCTGCCTCCAAGCCCCTGGTGTGCTGCTCTGCCTATTGAAGAAATGAATCAATGAAGGACAGGAGAGGGGAGGGAAGGAGAAAAAGAACAGGCAGAAGAAGAGAGAGAGAGAGGGGAGTGAGAAGGGAAGATGCTCGCAAACACTGGGACTATCTGGGTAATTCCTACGAGGCCAGATCTTTCCTATTTAATCTTCTGCATAATTGCTGCCGTGGGGACCCTGCTGGTCTCCACACCTGCAGTTCCCGGGCATGTATGAAATGCCAGGCAGGCCCCTCCTTTGCACTTAGTCCCAGAAAGGCCATGTGAATGGTTTCCTGTTGGATGGGAATGGGGCTCTCCAGCGCCCATCCATCCCAGAACCCCGCACGGATGGCCACCCTCTGCTGGGGTTGGCATCACAGGGGCATTTCTTCCTGTTGCAGTGGCCCCTAATTGCTCTCCAGGGCAGTGGGGGCCTCCCTCTCTGGCTGGCAGCCCATGTGGCTGGCCAGACCCAGCCCACTGTTCCACAGGCTCACTCACGAAGGCCTCTTAAAATCACTGGTGCCCTCGCCATCAAAAGTCAGGCCAGCCCAGCAAAGGTCAGGGTAAAGCATGTCGCTGCTCTTCTCCCACCTGGCACTGTGCCCCTGGAGCAAGGATTGCAGAACCAGGATGAGGGGAGATGACTCCTCAGAGGAAAGAGAACGGATTGGGAGTGAAGAGCCCTGTGTTCCAGGTCTGGCCCTAACCCTGTCCACTACCTTAGGCAAGTCCCCTCCTCTCTCTAGGGACAGAGACTGTCCAACCATGGGCCTGGGGCTTGATCATCTCTTTCAGTCCTTATAACAATCCTGTGATGTGGGTATAAGGTCTTTCATTACAGATAAGAAACCTGCAGCTCAGAGAGGTTATGTGGCCTGTATGGCATCACACAGGAAGAAAATGGGGAGCTGGGATGTGACTCCAGGTGGCTCTGGCTTTGAAGCCTATGTTCTCACCATTGCCCCCTCAGGGACTCCGCTCCCTCATTTGTGGTACGGGATGATGGCCATAATGTCAACCTCCCATGCTGGGCCAAATCTCTCTCTTAAGAAAAACTCTCTCCTAAGGCACTTCATGTGGTATCAACGTTTGGAGTCAGGATCATTATGCTGTTCCTCCCCCCATCTCAGGCCTCAGTTTCCCCATTGTGAACTGAGGGAGCTGGATTAGTGTCTCCCAAACTTCCACCTCATGATTTTCTGCCATATCCTGATATCACATATACTAATACTTAATGTTTGTCTTTAAATCAAGTAGATTTTAAAAATTTAACATGATCCTAAGCAATAACATACATGAAATCAAGGATTTAATGCACTGACTATATTCTGTCCTAATACACAACAAAATAGATTGATAATTAAATTATAAACTGTCATCCAGGCAACACGTAGGAGCACCCCATCGGAGGCAAGCGAGGTTTGCTTGGGAGATATGCGGAGCTCCACGACCTCTGAGCTTCCCTTCAGTTCTCGCTCTGGGAGTCTCTGCCCGTCCCCCTGCGTGGATGTGTGTGTGTGGGTGTGTAACTTGGACTTACATCATCTCTCATCCAAGTGGTCTGGTCCTCCATGATGGATGCCGGGCTGGCATGGAAGCAGCTGTGTGTGTGATGGGAAGCTGGACGGCATAAGGCGAACAAAGGAGGCAGAAGTTGATCTCTGAGAACCCAGAGCATGGTTTCCAGCTGGGATACAGCCAGACAGGGCTGGAGGGCCTGGGGCAGGAGACGGGTGAGCGGGAAGAGGTAGAGAGCAGGAAACAGGCAGAGTCCCAGCGGGTGACGAGCCCTTCCACCAGCAGCCGTGCATCCAAGCCAAGGCCTGGCTTCCCACGGCTGAGGACAGGGAGAGCAGCTGGCCATGCCTTCAGGGGCAGAGCATCCTCAGGGGTCTAATTATGGCAGAGGGGATAGGGGGCAGGCTCCACAAGCACCCTACCACACACCATGAAGATCACTCAAATTTTGTTTTGTGGTGCTTGTTAGCTTAGCTTTTCACTGAAACACAACATAATACAGAAAAACGCACAAACACAAGTGAACAGCTCGATGAATTTTCAATATCCAAACACACCTATGTAATCAGCACCCAGATAAAGAGATAAGATATCGGCCTCCTCCTAGAAGCCCTCTTGTGCTCCTTTCTAGCCACTACCTTGCCCCAAGGGTGAACACTGCCCTAATTCCCAATATCAGGGATTGGTTTTGCCTATTTTGAACTTTATATAAATGGAATCACACCTAGGTAGTCTTGTGTCTGGCTTCTTTTGTTCAACACTATGTGTGCAAGATTCGTCCATATTATTGTGTGTAGCTTCAGTTTGTTCATTCTCATTGGTGCATAATAGTCCAATAGATAAATATTCTACAATTTATTCATTCTACTCTTAATTGGTATCTGCATAATGCTTAGTTTTGGGACATTATGAATAACCTTGCCATGAACATTCTAGCCCATGACTTTGCCTTCATTTCTCTCGGGTGCACATATAGGAGCAGAATAGCTCAGTCATGCTATATGTACACATTCAGGTTTAGTGACACTGACAGTTTTCAAAAGGGATTGCACCAATTTCTACTCCCCCCAGCAGTCTGTGAGCATTTTGGTTGCTCTACATGCTTGCCAAGACCTGGCATTTTTTTATATTTTTAATTTCAGTCATTTGGGTGGGTTTACAAATCACCCATATTTTGGTTTTGTCCAAACTGCAGAACAAGCCTGCAGGCTGATGTCATTTCTAAGAAGCAGGTGCTGTAGTGGATGATCCTAGACCCTGATGGAAGATGAGCCTCAGTGTTTGCTGTCCAGCCACTAACTCGATGATTTTAGGAAAGAACTGCCACTGGGCTGTGCAAAGTCTCTACTCAAGCCCTCACTCATTCATCTGACCCCCACAACAAACCGATGAAGGTGGACGAGGAAGGAATTATTCTCAAGAGCTTACATAACTTGCCAGGTGAGTAGCAGAGACAAAATTCAGGCCCATCTTCTTCTGATTCCAGTCCAATGGTCTTCCACTGAGCTTACACTGACTCAACTCACTTGTTCCCCATTTCTAAGAAGAAGGTGTTGAACTGCATGACCTCTGATGTTCCTCCCAGTTTAAACACAGTGGACTTATTTGTTCCTAAATGTATAGGCGGTTTATTCATTAAGTGTATAAACAAGTGGAAGATCCTTCTCAATCCTAAGAGGAAACTGAGCCAAGCTCATCTGGTGACTCAAATGCCAAATGAAGCAGAATCTTTGTGAATACTGAGTGGTTGGAGATGACAGAGACTCAGCAAGACTAAGAGTAAATAAGGGTTACAGCTTGGTCACTGGAATGACAAAATGTGCTCTACAGACACATTTTATCATTCAGGATTTCTTGCACCCAAAGAGCATCCAAGCATCCATTCATCCATGCATCGAACCAATACGCCATCTATCTATCTATCCATCCATTCGACCATCCTTCCATCCTTTCATTCAACAGGCATTTATTGAACACCTACTCTCAGTCCCCATACTAGCTTCTGGGGCTACAGAATGAACCAGAAATGATCCCTGCTCTGCAGAAACTCTCAATCCAGGCAGGTGTCGCATCCTACACACATCTGTCCAGACTCTCAGTGACTAGAAGGCAAGGGCCATACCTCACCTCTGTCATTCCCAAATCATCTATTACGAAGCCTGGTACAAGGCATTGCTAAGATATACTTGATGAATGAACTATTAATCCCCGAGAGTTCTGAAAAAGGATTTGGAATGTTCATTTCTATCATTTCTTCTCATTAGTCTAAGAACCAGGTCTTGGAGCTTCGCCTGCCATGGTCCCTTCCTCATACCAACCAAAGTGCAGAAAGCGAGGAGCAGGCGACTATTGCACCAGCCTCCTTTCTCAGCTGTCCTGATGGGTGCAAAGAGCTGGGAAACAAGTTCTGCCCACATTCCCCGGAGAACCTCATTCATGAGCGCCTTCCATCTCAGACATGTGTCCTGAGTTTTCTAATTATCTCATGATAGATTTCTGCGCAGTGGTTTTGATGAGGCTCACCTGCAGTGCTTTTTCTCTAAAGATGGCAGGAAAACTACAGGTTTTATAAAAAGCAAATAATAGACAGACAGCATTTCAACAACAAAGATGAACAGAATAGAGTTCAGGCAGGGACCATGGAAGAAGGGGGAAGTTACTGCAAACTCCAAGACAGTGCCAGCCCCCCAGAACATTGACACCACACCTCCAGGGCTTGGCTCCCAGCATTCAAGGATTGTGTGCCATTAGACGCATTCTGGTCCATAAACACTCTCTGAGTTCCTATTAGGTGCACCCAGTGCCTGGGTGTTACCTTACCTCCTCCTCCTCCTTACCTCCCAAACACCATTAAGACCAAGTCATACCAACCATCTACCTCTGGAATCCATCCCCCGCCCACCCTCCTTACTGCCACCGCCTGAGGCCAGCCCACCATCCTCCTCCCATCTGGACTCCCACAACAGCCTCCTTACTGGTCTCCCTGCCTCTGCTCTGACCTGTAGCCACATAACAGATGGAAAACTGATCACATCACCCCGCTGCCACAAACCCTCCACTGGCTTTGAACGGCCCTTAGGAAAATGCTCTGAGTCCTTTGGATGGTCTGCAAGACCCTCCATGACTGGCTGCTGCCTCCCTGTCCAGCCTCATCTCAGTCGCTTCCACACTAGGCTGATTTCACTCCAGACCCACAGGTCTTTCAGTTCCCTAAGGATGTCCCTGTTCTTCCCTACCAGCAGATGTTACATAGTAACATCTACTTGGAATGCTTTTTCCCTTCCCTCATCTCCTAAATCAACCCTGTTCATCCTTGAATAAGAGCTTCAGCCTGGTGAACACTTCCTCAGTGAACCCTTATCTGAGCCCAGAGTGCGGGGTAATCCTGTAGTGTAAGCCTCACAGCACCTGCCCATCCCTCTTTGGGAATGCTTGTCTCATTGGTAATTCTTCTCTCATGCCTAGCCTCCCTCCTAGACTGTAGCCTCCCTGAAAGCAGGCACTGTATAGGGTTTCTCCATCGCTGAACCTCATCTCCTAACATGCAGCTCCCAGATAGGATGCTCTCAATAAACATTGGTTGATTGAGAGGTTGATTGAGTGACAGACTGATTGATTGATTGATAGACTGATTGCAAGCACTGAGCTCGGTGTCAGAAAGTCAGAAGAAGGTTTTGGAACAGATACTTTGGTTCATTTCCAAACTCTAGTCTACAGTCACAAGCTACACGACCTTGAGGAGATGATTTCACCTCTCTGAGTCTCAATTTCTTCATCTTTACATTCCTGATAGTAATACCTGCCCTTCGTGTCTCATGCTGTACCAAAAAATGAGATCCCAGTTGTGAAGATGCTTCACAAAATGAGGACGTGCCAAGCAGGGCAGACCCAGCAGCATAGCTGTGCTCTAGAATAGGTCCCGTCTCTGGTCCTCTTCTTACCCAGATGGAAAGGAACAGTCTCCCCACTCCCCACCCTTTAGTCCACTCTCAGGGCACCTTGGGATTGAGCTAAGAGCCTCTTGATAAATAATAAATAGGACACAACGGGAAGGAGGAAAGCCAGAAGAGATTTACAGGAGACAGAAGAAAAACACCCCAGCCACACACATACAAAATAGCTCCTGGTCCTCCACGTCTCTGGGGTCTTATAATGAAGGAGAAAGACCCTAAAGACTTGTGGGAAAGGGGAGGAAATATTATTGACGGCATGTGGTAGAAAATGTACTCCGGTTACTAGAAGGGCCTTTAGACGTCCTATAGCCCAGTGGCTTTCAATTGCTTCAGGAGTTCAAATTAGTAGACAGCGGGGTCCAGAACAGAGGACTTTCTGCTGTGAATGCAGTGGTTTTCAAAGGGTGCCCCAGAGCAACAGCAGCAGCATCTGGGAACTTGGGAAAATTCAGATTCCCAGGCCTCACTCAGCCCTAATGAATCAGAAACTCTGGGGGTGGCGCCTGAACAAGCCCTCCAGGTGACTCTGCTACACACCCAGGTTGAGACCTGCTGTGCTAATTGACCAGGGGAAAATGAAAGAGAACCAGGTGCGGGATGGAGACTTCAGTAGGTGTGGGAATGTTCCCTCTGGCGCCACCAACACGGCTCCCTGGTGCCTCAGACTAGCTGAAGGAAGATTTGACATCGTTGTTCTGTGCACGTGTCCTTGATTCCCTTCATTGCCAAAACCATTGATCCCGGAGCTCAAACAGAGCCTTGAGAATAGGGGCTCAAAAGCAGACAAACGTTTACGCCTGCCTGCCCTTCGCCTCCCCGATTACCTCTGGAAACCCTGGCTACAGGGATGAATCTCCAGGGCCTGTGAGGGTCTCACAATCAGGAGGAGGGGAGACGGTGAGTGCCAGGACCAGAATTTGTTGACTTTTAACTGTTCTGGCGTTTATATTTACCTCCACCTGCTGAGGAAACTCCTCACTGCCATCTTGGTCTTCCCCCTTCCCTCTCTTAAACAGAAAAGATTCTTACTTGCTAGGAGAGGGGCCAAGTCCATAGACATATCAAAGGAATAGAGAAAATACAGAGGGAGGAAATAGATAGAAAACCCTTGCACGTTATGTGTAGTGAGAGTTGGGATTTGGGGCACGGAGAGGGGTTCAGAGGAGCTGTGGGACGTAAAGACATTGGAGAGGAGAGAAAAGGGACTTTTGCCAAGGATAGTGATAGATCGTGATGAGCATCTTTAGTGTCTCTAGGATGTGTAAATAGTGGACTTTGGTTACTTCTTCATTTGAATTTAGTTGCTTTTAAATTTTAATTTTGATTGTTAATCTTTGGATACAACAATGCTCCAAAACTGGACCATGTGCTTCCCTAGTCTTATTAGGGTTACACGTATACTCTGACAATCATAGCGCTACTGCAGAGCTGCAGGGATGACATGCTGTGCTAGACTCGCTCTGCTCAAGCCAGGCAGGGACAGCTTCTCCAGAAAGGAGACATCGCCCTGGGTCTGGAAGAATGGAGAGAGGTCGGTCTGGTAATGAAGGGCAACTGGTCAAATGACAGAGGACTTGTGTTTCTAAAGAGCAATTTAGTGCAAAAGACCAACAGCCCTCAACAAAAGAGTGAGCTATGACTCTGACTATGGCAGGTGACAAGGAGGACAGCCAGGTCCTCTTTGGACAGGTGGAATTCACCTCAGTTATGTAGGGGGAATTTAGGACTAGCCAACTGGACATTTATGGCCTCCTGGGACAACTACTAAATGGAGTTTGCCAGTGCTAAGGCACCTCGTCTCACCCTTTGCCATGGCACTTAAGAATACCCACTCCTGTCTAGAAATCTGGCCTTCCACTCTCTCCTCTCTTTGGAAAATCATAACGTTCCATCAGCATCCATGCCTTTCAGCAGCAGCAGCACCATTTCAACTCTCATTTACTGAGAGCTGGGCCAGGTTTAAAAGAAAACTGAGAGCTAAATAACAAAATAATGCCATTCTCAACTATACAGATGAGGAAACTCAGGCTCAGTTGGTCCACGGTGGAGCTAGATTGAACCCAGGTAAGAAGGGTGCCAAAGCTGGTTCTCTTATCCACAAGCTCTGCTGACCCCCCACCCCAACCCTCATCACACCGTGTCCCATTCTCTGTCCCCCACACTCTCTTAACTCACTCCTAAGTGAAGAGTTCTCTCCGCTTAAGTCCTCACCCCCCAGCACAGTGCCTAGTATACACTAGGTGCTCAGGAAATGTCTGTTTTATGATGAATTAAAGGAAAGAGCCCTTCTTGTCTCAAGGAAGCCTGGCCCTAAGTGAGGTCTGCTCTCCCCACCCTGTCCAAAGTACGCTGTGAAGAATGGCACATGGAGCCTGCGCCCCGAAACGTCAACCCTACTGCATGGCAGTCCCCCCATCAAACCTTCACTATTTATGTCTGAAAGTGGTTTTTTTTTTTTACTTTTCTTTGAAATGAAAATACCCCACCAGGGAGTTACCAGAAACATCAGCACAAGGTGGTGGTCAGGAGTACAGAGGCTGGAGCCAGATCCTCCGGGTTCAAATCCCAGCTTAGCCGCGTCCTCACTGGGTGGCCGTGGAGAAGTGAGTGAGCCTCTCCAGGCCTCAGCTTCCTTACTCGTAAAGCAGGGATAAGAATATCTACCTAGCGGAGTTGTTACAGAGATTAAACCAATTAGCGTTGGTAAAGTGCTTAGAGAACAGTGCCCAGCACACTTAGCCTTATTTAAGCATGCCTTGAATGCATAAATCAGGCAGAGATCCGACAGCGACCAGCAGAGAGTTAGGATGAGGTTGCATATGAGCAGATGAAAGGGAGGAAAGGGCCCAGATGAGGGGGTGCAGGAATTGTCTGAGACAACATTTGCCACCTTTACGATGTAGCCAAGGCCGCCCCTGACTGTTCCGTAGCTCTGGGAAGGTCCCTGCACTCAGGACGGTGCCCCTTCTGTCTGCACCCCCTGACCGGGCAGGAGATGGGTGGGGAGGTAGAGAAGCAGCCCCACAGAGGATGCTGGAGCACAGAGGTGCTGTGGACCTCCTGGGCACTCTTTGTGGGGCCGGTCTCCTGTGCCCAGCAGCTCTGGAGAGTCTGCCAGAGAAGCTTCTGCCCCCAGCCCGGCCCCAGGGCTCACACCCCTCCCCACTGAATCCTGAGCCCCGGCCCAGCCTAGAATGTTCAGTCGTTTCTCTCGAACTCCAGGTCGAAGAAGATCCCAAGCTTCAGAGTCAACTAGACTTGGGTTCAAATTCCAGCTCTGCAACAGATTATGTGTGTGACTTTGAGTAAGTAACTACCCTCTCTGAGTCTCAGTTTCTTCGTCTTTAGAATGGGGGTGGGGTAATGACATCCACCTCCAAGGGCGTTTGAGCAAACTAAACAGCAAAGGTAAATTGTGGGGCGTGGAGCCGGGAGCATGATAGGAGCTCTGTGAAGACTTGCTGAATGAACGAATGAATGGTCACATAGATCAGAGTCTCGGACCCACAGGGCTCCTGGCCTCCACCATCCCATTTACAGATGAGGAGCCCTGAACACCATCACTTCTTCCCCTTTCAACCTGCCAAGACCCTCTAGGCAGCCCAGGGCTATTTAAACCCAGGTGTTGGGGAAACAGGGAGAGCTTCCAGACCACCCAGAACACAGCTGAGAGCTTAGGGGTGATGGGAGCCCTTCAAAGTTTCAGAGAAAACCAAAGCCTGTTAGTGAAAGATCAGGAAAGGCAAGGCCTCCGTTAGTCTCCTTGTTGAATCCGGAAGTCACGTTTGGTAAAACACTAGCACTTGAAGAGGGGACTCTTCCTTACTTTCTCTTTTTAAACCCCGCAGGCATCATTCAGCTTTTTGCACTCGCAGAATCAACCCACCATCTTCCTCGCTTCCTGGAGGCCCCAGCCGATGTGGGGTGCGCCGACAATTTGCTCGCCGAGGGAACTGGAGGTTCCCAAAGGGGAAAAAAAGGCGTGTGATTTACATGGCTTAATACACTCATTAAAGGTTTAATTGGAGTCTTTTTGCCACCGATCCTCCAACAGCCCCTATCTTCCCCCATTTAATTAACAGAGTAACCTTTAGCTTCACAACTCATAAAGAAAGCCAAGTATAAAGGACGGAGCTCTCTGAGCTTCCCTGTCCTGATCCTACCAGGCAACTGAAACCCCAGTGGGACTCCGGGTCCCGGGGGTGCCTGTCTTCAATGTGGAGCATTCACATCCTCAGGAAAAAAGAGGCTGCAGAGCCTGAGTCAGCCCGGCCCAGGTTCAAACCGCAGCTCTGTCATTCACTAGCTGTGACCTTGTGCAAGATACTCCATCTCTTTGAGCCTCGGTTTCCTCACCTGTAAAAGGGGGATAACAATTAAACAGATAATTCACAGGGTTGTCATGAGGTTCAGATGAGTGTGACATGGGTAGCGCTCAGTCCAATAAAAGTTTGCAGTTTACTCTGATCACTAAGGTCACAAGGATGGAGTGTAATGAGTTTTGGGGTAGCAGGAACTGGATGGCCAAGAGACTTCCCAAACAGTGACGAATTGTCATTTTGCCTGATGGAGTCACCAAAGAGTTTCTGGGAAACCACCTAAAATATTAGTAGCAGAAATTATTTGGAGTTATTGCACACAATGACCCATACTTAATCAAGGTTCACAGTATTTTAGCCGCTTGCCATGGTCTCAATTAGTCAGCTGTCCCTCTCCCACCCTCCCCCCTTCCTGCCCTTTCCTTGCCCGCTTGCAACATGAAATATAAATAATTAACGCTATCCAATTACCTAAACCAAAAATAAATAAAGCTTCAAGGGTGTATTGGATTTCCACATGAATCCACCATTAGGAAGATGATGCATTCTGCATGCAGGTGTCTGCATCCCGAAAGCCATTTGTGATGGGGCCGCTCAGTGGGTACCAGGGTTAGTTAAAGCTCGCTTCATTACAGTGGCATCGGGCAGATGGGAACTGACGGCGCTGGGCTGTTTTCATAGGGAAATGTGCACCAAGTCCCAGGTCAGCACGGTGATAAATGGGCTTGCCGACAATTTGCTGGGAGCACACATCTTGGGGGACTCCTGAGGTCATGAAATGTCTGCTGTTAAGCTACACAATTTTCTTTACTTATCAGTCCCAACCACATCGCAGACACATATTTGAACAATGAAACAAAGGAGGACACACATTATCAGGCCCCAGCCGGGGAAAGGGAGTGGCACGAAGCCAGCAGTGAGGATCGGACAAAGCTCGGGGCGCACTGAACGCCAGTGCGGAAGGGAAGGAAGGCTGCGATTTCGTTTTCAAGTGGCAAGTTGGAAGGCGGAGCGCATGGGGGCCATGGGTGTCTGGGGTGTTCTCTGAAGAGCACAAGCTTCAAGGGCAGAAGTCATCTGTCACCACCACAGCCTCGGCGCTGGCTCCATCCTCCACACAGAAGGCACAGGGATCTCTCCAGAATGCAAATCCGATGTTTACTGCCATCCCATGGCTCCCCATTGTCCACAGGAGAGAGCCCAAACTCCTTCGCACGCTTACAAAACTTCCTTGTCCTGGACCCTGCTTACGTCACTTAACTCGTCTCCCACACTCCCCCGTCCTATTCCACACTCCTGCCACACTTCATTCATTCACACGCCTGCAGGCCTCTGCACACGCCGTCCTCCATCCCGCCTCCCTCTTTTCTCCACTCCTTCATCTGGCTAACTCCTAGTCATCCTTTATGTCTCAGCTGAGCTTGGCTTCTTCCAGGAAGTCTTTCCTGACCACCACTAAATTGAGATTCAGTGCCCTCGTCGGTCTCGCACAGCACAGCCTTGTGCAGCTGTACTGTTGAGGCCTCATTACTTGTCTCTAGACTAAGCTCCACTGGGGTAGAGTCTGCCTTGTTTGTGGTATTTCCAGTGCCCTGCACCATGCCTGGTGCCAAGTAGATGCTCAAAAATGTCTATAAAATGAATGAATAAATATGCAGAGGAAGACCCTTCACACCAGCAGGAGGCAGCAGTCCTAAGTGGGCCACAAGCCCTGCCAAGGGAAGGTCAGAACTCCCATCTGCTCCCCATCCCATCCAGACGAGCCTCCATCTGGCACAGGGAGACAGAGACCAAATGAGGTAACAAAGTTGAAAACCATACAGGACGCCAGCAACAAAATCCCTAGGAGGGAGCTTGGAAGTTACCCGAAAACAGGGGAGCAGAGGTGGATATGGAATCTGGTGTGTGAAGCAGAAGTTTGGAGCCAGAGAGATGAGAGAGGGTGCCCAAGAATCAGGAGCAGACGGGGAAAGAGAAGATTCCAAGGAATTTCCTAAACAGTCATGAGCACATGCTGCTGCTCTTACAGGTGTGTTTTAAAGGCCAGGAACAAATCAGAGCCTCTTGGCCATAGTGTGATCAGGCAGTGAGGCCCAAATCCTCTACAAAGCAGCGGTGACAGTAGAGATCAAGAGAAAAATAAGCTCAGCTAATTGCAAAAAAAGAAGGCTGCGTGGGGACTCCGGTGAAATGAGCCCATCCCAAGGGAATGGATAGTTCCAGGGGGACCCCGGAGAAATATCCGGAAGAATCTGAGCAAGCCAGCCTGGAGGAGAGAGAACTGTGGCCTTGGTTCTGTCCATTCTGTGCCTTTAGGGCACTGACCTGTGTCTCTGTCTTCCCTTTTCCTCTTCTAGAAAACAATCGCCACCATGGCTTGCTCAGCACCTTGTCATTCTTTGGAGTGCTTCCCCATTTATACCATTTAATCTTCCCCCACCCTAGAAGATAGGCCTCTCACTGAGCAGATGAGGAAACCAACAAATAGAGTCACTATCCAAGCTCACCTAGCCAGTGGGTGCCCAAACTCAGATCCAAATCTGATGAGTGCAAATCGTGTGCTCCGCCAAGCCCAGAGGGTGGCCAGGTGGCCCAAGCTTCCCCCAGCTGCGAAGGGAGAACACAGAAGCCAAGCCAGCTTGGGCACCGCCAGAAGCTGGCAAAACGTGTCCCACCTGTGCCTTCCTCACCAGGCACCGAGCAGCTCTTTCCTGGTATTTGTTTCTTTGTACCCAGAATTAATTTCCACACCCACCCCACCCCCTAATGCCATCCTTCTCCCACTCTGTCCCAGTGGTCCTGTCTTGTTTATCTAATAAGCAATCCATACCAGGGTAATTACAGGTGAGGACAATGTCATATAGCATCTCTCCTAGATAACTTTTTTTTTTTTTTTGGTGAGGAAGATTCACCCTAAGCTAACATCTATGCCAATCTCCCTCTATTTTGTATGTGGGTCACTGCCACAGCAGGGCTGACGAATGGAGTATATCTACACCTGGGATCCAAACCCACAAACTAGGGCCACCAAAGTGGATCATACCAAACTTTACTATGCCATGGAGCCAGCCTCAACTTTTTGCATTCTTACAGGGCTCTTTTTGGAGACCCAATACTTTCACTCAAAGACCTAACAAAAATAGAGAAAATGAGAATAGTCACTGTTCTCTGATGCCCCTACTCTGTGCTGGGCATGTACACAGACATTACAAAGCAAGTTCTCTCAAGCCCATTTTACAGATGAGAAAACTGAGGCCTGGAAGGATTTAATAACTCATCTGATGTCACAGCTAGGAAGTGGCAGAGTTCCTAGCTCCTAGAGGAACCCAGGCCTGTGTGAATCTCCAGTGTGGCTTCCTCCACCGCGTCAAGCTGTCTCTCAACAGGGTAGTGTTTTCAAGCACCCATGTGCATGTGGGGCGGTCAGCGGTGACTTGCTGGCGGTATGCAAAGGGAAGGGTTTTCAGGACAAACAAACCTTTTGATAGCCCTCACATCACTCCCTCGCAGATGGGGAAATGCAGCCCCGCCTGCAGGAAGAAATCAGTGGAGAACAGACGCAAACACTACAGAAAGGAAGGGATCATTTATCACGGAGAGGGGGCCGGAGACCCAGGTGGGAAAGGGAAAGGGGAGGGAGTCAGTCGAATGTCAGAATTTGGGTGAAAAACTATCAATATCCTGGCAGGCACCTCCCAAACATCTGCTTCCCTATTTGTTTGGGGGGACCCGGTGATCTAAAACCAGCAGCTTCAGCTACATGTCAATGAGTACTTCTCTTATTCACGAACGCTCAGAGGCATCAGGATTCTGGGCTCTTCTAGAACAGTTCATACCGACTCCTATCTTCCAGAGACAAGGGGCAAAACATCTAGGATGGCCAAGTCAGCTGCCTTCTGCCTCTGTCCTTGGTCCACGCTCCTGTCCACCGCCCAGTGTCGCTGGAGCTCCCAGTGGGCAGGGCGGAGGGAGGAGGGTAGGCAGACGCTCAGCGATGCGATTTTGAAGACCAGACAGACAGCACTTCCAAATTAAAACTTAACAAAAGAAGAAAAAAGTCGTTTTACCCTCTGTTCAGTGATTCCCTGATGAATAGGAGTGTGGGTTTAAAATTTAATCATGAATTCACTGGAAGGAAATAAATCACGGAGTAAATGTTTGAAGTGCAAGCTTGCTGAGCTCTTGGGTTGTGATCACTCGATTTAGCATAAAAATTAAGAGTTAGTGTTTTCCAAGAGCAAAGCTGAAGATGCATTCAAATTTTTTTAAATGACAGATGCCATTAATTTTTTAAGAAATAATCTGATTTGCAATGCAGTATATAATATAAAAACGTCTCACTGTTCTAAACCAAGGCTTGCAGCCACAGAAACTGCGTCTACGAAAGCATCCCCAGGAAGCTGGGAGTTGCTTTCTCACACTTGGCCTCATGGGCTTAGGAAACTGAATTCTGGTCTTTCCCACCCACAATTCAATTCGGGAGGCAATGCTTATTCCCAGCGAGGCCCATAGTGTGGGTGGGAGGTGGGGGGGGCGACGTGCTAGCAGTGAAGGAGACAGACATGGTGCAGTCAGCTCTGTTCCCCCTGCCAAGTTCGGGCCACTCTCGCCCTCACCTAGGGGACCCCTGAGCACCTCACGCTAGGATAGAAGCTTCATGACACCAGGACTTCGTGCATTTTGTTCTCTGCACTATCCTCAGTGCCCAGAAAAGGCCTACCATGCACACTGCTGGTGCTCAGGGAACAGCGATAGCAGGAACTAGATGGATGAATGGCATCCACATCTGCTTGCTGCTCCCAAAACAGAGCATGCTGCTGCGTGCCTCCCTACCTTCGACCATGCTGCTCCTCTTACAATGCCCTTCCTGCCATTGCTGTTACCAGGCTAACCCCAGCTTTTCTTGAACACCCCCTTCTTTGGGAACTTCCATGGCCCTGTGCCTTGGACCCAGGCCTGGTGAGGGTCCCAGCACTGGACCCCAGGCCAGCTTCTTCTCCTGCACCAGAACATAATTGCCAATGTGCTTCTCTCTCC